CTTATGAATGGAAGCCTAATGGAGACACAAAGGCACTGACAGGAAAGGTTGACAGAGCCCTGAGAGATTCAATATGGTGCCACATATCATTCTTTAATCTTAACTGTGACATGGCATCTCAAAGAACCATTGGAGACAAAGACTTCTCAATGGGAAGCACTCATACAATTGCTGTTGTTAACCACCTCCTGAAAACTGGGTGAAAAGGGAAAAAATTAAGTTTAGAAAGGTAAAATGATCTGCCACAGGTCTCACAAGAGGTCAAGATGAGGAGCAGAAAAGGAAGTCAAGCATTCTGCTTGTTGGCCTTGCTCCTCAGCCCAACACTGCACCATCTCTCCCCTTGTCAAAGTCTGGGAATACAGAAAATACACATAAGAAAACCACATATCCTGAATTATCATCTGTGAGATAAATCAAGGTCCCTTTACTGCACAAACGGAGTATTTCCAACAGGACCATTTCAGCACCTCTCTTCTCCCCATGTGCATTCCTACAGCACACTGGAACTACAAAAGGAGACTGCTATATTATTCAATACATAAAACTGGTAGTTCCTTTGGTAGCTCTGAGCTACGGTAAAATACTAGTGAGAGTTTGTTCCCACCAGCCAGGGAAACTTTGCTGTGAGGAGTGACTCAGCTGGGATATAGTCCAGAAGGCAACAGGAGATGAGGGGCCCCGATGGCACTTTTCCAGTCTTAATCAACACTGTCTACATGGTGATAGAGACTGATAAGCTGCCAGAAGTCATTTCTTTCTGTGAGACTTGAAACAGTGGTCCAGAACAGTTGTGATCTTTGTGTGTGTGTGTATTTTGTCGGGGTTTTTTTAAATGCAAAATCAAGGGCTGTAATTTCCCATGGCAGCAAACAAACAATTCTGATAGTTTCATTCTAATCTCCTATAAGTATCCATTTCTCCTCTCTCAACCTTAACCAATTTCCACTCCACAAAGTATTATTTTTTTCAACAAATCAGACATGCCTGTCTACAATAGCACATTTATCAACAGGGAGGGCTGTGATAGAGAGAAACTATCCCTCCTGCAGAGTGCATAACACATTTGGGAATCCTTTCTAATAAAAAGGGATTTGATTAAAGACAGCCAACTACCACAGATCAGCAACTGAATCAGCAGTAAAGAAAGAAGAGCAGCTTAGACTTAAAAGACTTCAATCTGCTGATCTGCCAAGGACTTCCCAGGAGAAGTCACTCTATAAGTCACTCCAGAATCTACAGGAGGGTAGGGGGGGACATACATCAAGGATTGGGGTGCTTAGACTTACTATAGTAGTCTGGCCTTAACAAAATCAGGTTAGGTAGAATACGCAACATGAATGTTTAACTCCTAAAAACGTACAGTGATTTTTTTTTAATTATTATGCTTAGTGATGATACCTCCATGCTTAAGCACTGCCTTGCCAATGGCAGCTAGAGTATTTCCCAGTGGCTGGATTGTGCTGCTGCGACAAGCCTAGGCAACAGAGCTGTCAACTGTGATCTTGCTGCTCTGAAGTGTGTCTCCAGCATGCTGCTTCTGGCTCCCACCATGTGCCCCGGCTCCCTGGGAAGGCAGTGAGATCCATGCCATGCTGCCAGCTGTGTGTATTTCCATGAACAACAGTTGCCTAGAACAGTTCCCCCAGCCTTGAAACCACCTTCAGTAATTTATACCCAGGGAAGCTGCAGAGAGGTGCAGTGAGCACAGACTGGATGGAAGCGCTGGCTGTCCTGCTCCTGAGCTCATCTCACTTGGTCTGCCAGCATGACCAGCCAGCATTTCCAGGGCAAAGAAACAACTTCAGTGACTCCTAGTCCTCTTCCCTCCCAAGGAACCTCCACTCTGCCCACTGCTGGGCAGATTCTGCTGACTCCAGAATCAAGATGGCTTGACTGAAAACCAGAGATACAGCAAGTGAAACCACAGAAGGAAAATGGTTAAGAAAAAGATTCCAGAGTGCTGACGGGCCAAGTAAAATGACCTTTCTCCAGTCTGACAGTTCAAATGTAATTATTCCAACAAATTATTTTTATGACTTAATATAACGCCTTGCAGCTTTCTAGCAAGGTTAATTAGATTCCTCAATTCAAAACCTATCTGCACTTAACCAACTTTTAATATGCTGAAATCCAGTTTTCTAAATTCAAACTAATAAAAGTGATTAGCTGACAGCTATCTGGTATGCTACAATTACCATGGCAGTTAGACCTCAGGCATAAGATATTTAATGCAAATCAGAGTCAATGTCTCTGCCCATTTGTCCTTTTTCTGATTATTTGATCAATGTGCCATATGAATCCTGTACAGTCCACACTACCATGCTAAACAAATACAGCACAAGGGCAGGGATATTGTTTGAGACAGTTAACCAAAGTTGAAAGACTCTTTTTTCCCTCCCACACTTAATTTGTTCTTTCCACATGAGCACGAAGTTACTGAAAGGCACTGGCTGACAGCTCGAGTAGAGATGGGTATTGAGTTCTGACACAGCCAGAATTAGTACAGAACTCCCGGCCTGCACTGCCATATCAAAGGGCTTCATCTATTGTGACCATCTTCCCCCAGGGAGGAGCTTGGGCTGGAACAAACCTAGGAGGATGACAGCAGCCTACCACTTTGATGGTATCCAACCATAAAAAGCAGTTGTGGTCCAGCATTATGTATCTTGTTAGATAGATAACGCTCCTAAATGGCTGTGTGGGGCATAGCATGCTTAGAAAGCTGAGGAGATGATCAGCCCAACACATGGTTCTTCTGCACATCAGGAATGTCGAGGCTGGATACTGCTTCAGAGACGAACTTCAGTAGCATACACTCAGTGCAATTAGAAAAGCAATCAGGTGCAGTTGGTAATTACACATCACCTGCCCAAGGCAGGACTAAGGTTGTTTGATTTGCATCTTCCACCTTGCGTCATGAATGATCATTCCATCTTTGATCATGCCACCACTTAAACTCTGGCAAAACCTGTGAATGCTCTGAAGCCTCCTTTCCATTTTGTTGTCTCCTGCTGAATTAAGAGCTATTGGCATGGCATTGTTCTGACCTCTCATCTGATAGCCAAATCAATGAGAGACTTTATGTTCCAACCGTTTGAGCTATGCTTCCCTTTTGGATGAAGAAACTTTGACATACCACCCTCTCAAACAGAGCAGAGCCATCTTAGGCATACAGTATTAGACTGCAAAATCCGAGCTTTTCAGCTTCATAAATACAAGTGCTAAACAAAACTAAAGCTTCACTTCAGGAAGCAATTTCCGAGCTGTGAGGAAAATTAATCACTAGAACAGCTTATCAGGGTAGGTGGTTGACTCACCATTGCTCGAAGTCTTTAAGATAAGATTAGATTTTTTTTTTTTTTTTAAGTCATGATTCAATCATGTTTCTGGGACAAACTGAGAGTAAGACATTAGGTAGTATAATGGAAAGGTCCTTTCTGACCTTGAAGCCTGTGCATCTCCAAGTTCTTTGTTCATCTGCCTACCTTCCTGGGCTAAAACGTAAACTGGATGGGCTCTAGTCCATCTACCAACTCCTGCCACACAGTTCTGCATTAAGAAAATTACTATAATCAAATCTCATGCTTCAGGGCTTCAGCCGTTTGCCTAAAAGGAGAAGGAAAGAAGTTTCTCCCTCTTGCCTGCCCAGTTAATAGCTAAATGTTATGTTTATCTGGTTGTTGCTTCATGTTTAAAACATCAGAGAGTGAACCCAAATGGCTATGGGCAGAGATGAAGTCAAACCCATCAACACAGAAAATGCTCTCTGGCTATTCTCTATTCAATTAGTCATTCCTGCTCACACCTCAGATCAGTGATAGTCATCAACTCTGATGATTACTAATGTTGACAGAGAAGACATTTTGGTTGTGAGGGTGGAGACCACAGAAGGTAGAAGGCACTGATGGACAATGGGGACTGATATCAACTCCATCTACAAGGGCAATGTTTGTTTGATGAGAACATCTTAACCTGCTCGTGTTATCAGATTCTTGCCACTGCAAGATCCTCGTTTATTAGTTAAACCTTGGTCCCACCTGTTTTTGGATTAAACCTGACCACAAAAGTTTCTTTAAGCCAGAAATGTTCTGGTCCATTCAAACTCTACAGCAAATAGAGCTAGGGAGCAATCTAAATGAAATTTTTAAGAAATTATGAAATAAAGGAAGATAAAGAACACAAAATGAATGGCTTGCCCCAGTATTTAACTTTACAAACTGTAGCAGTTTGTTTCCTAACAACACTATTACCCAAGCCTGTAAGAAACTAAACATACAGGCAGATGCATCAAATGTGCCCAAGACTCTCGACTTTAATGCAGAGTTCAGCCCCCATATCACCTATGTTTCATATAAAGGCAAGATATACATTCTATACCTACAGCTGCCTAAGATAATTCTGTTCTACATCACTTAAGAAGGAAATTAGACAATTATCATTTTCCAGGCAAGGAAGATGATAAGGTTATAAGTGAATCAGTTCAGATTTGTCTTCCTTGTGCTCGTTAGACCCAGTTCTGGGCTAATAGGTCCCCATGTATAACCACCCTGATTGACTCAAACTGGATTTCCTTTTTATGTGTGCCAGCACACAGAAAATGAAAATCCATGCCTTAGAAGCAGAACACATTTACGCTTCCAGGTTTTTTGCAGCTGCAATGAGAAGGGAGCAATGGGGCAGGCAGGCAAGACAGCACACCACACCTGAGTTCAGACAGGTAGCCAAGGAGCTGGGGACAGATGGTGTGAAAATGAACCAGACACTGAAAAATTCAACTTTAAAACCAGAAAGATTACAAACATACAGTGAGTGAGCATGAGATTTATGCTGAAATTACAGAGGAATTCCTATGGCTGATTACACTTCCAGCCCAAGCGTGGAAAGCACATCCATCAATACCAGTGTCACTACGTTACCAGTGCAGCTGCCAGAGGCCTCCCCGTCACTGCACCCGCTAAATATGGAAGAGAGCTACAGACACTTGTGACATGGCTCACCAAAGTAGTCATCAGAGGGAGGATTCTCCATGTCATACAGCATTTTCTTGGTCAGATGCTCCAGCTCATCCTCAGGCCTGAAGGAGGGAGTGCTTGATGCAGGTCCAGAGCTTGGATATCCACTCTGGAAAAAAAGGACAGTGTGATGTGATGTGATATAAAAGCATTCACACACAGTAAGAGGGTCTATTGGCTGTTCAGTGTTGAACTTCATTCTTTGTCTTGTTTTTGCTTTTTTTAAAACCAAAGGGATTCAAGCAAGTAAACATCTCAATGTAATGAAAATGGACTCTGAAAAACATCCAGTGAAGTGCTATATAACCTCCTAGAATGAGAAGTATTCTCTGCCTCATAATTAGGTGTCTACTGGATAGCACACAATAATAAATAAAGAAGAAAGTTATTTCAAGGATAACTTGATACAAACTTTTCCAACACTAAAAAAGGCTTTGGAAGTATTTAACTTTGGACTTAAAAGCTTTCATCACTTAACAACTCAACATAAAAGACGCTAGAACAATCATTCCTACAGTGGTAGAGTATATGGACAGAAACAGATATTCCAAAGATGCTAGTTATGTTCTCTTCTTGTTTGTTTTGACAGAAATCTTACTGTTAACATTAGTGAGATCAGGAGCTGGTCCACAGATTTTTAGTATTAGGGATACAAATGTTTTAGTATGGACATAGAAACTGGGTTCTCTTGGCTTTCATATGCTAACAGCTGCATACAGTATTTGCAGTCTGTTTCAGAGCATCTTTTCCCTGGAAAACACCAGAATTATGGGCATATTTTGAGAAGCACAGACTTAGTCTTATGCCTAGAAGTTTCTTAGAAGAAGCTAAGTTTAGTGTCCATAATAAGAAACTCGGTCATTTCAGGATTAAAAAATGCTGACACCAGCTTTCCTTGTGTGCACTGCTTTCTTGAAAGACTTGCATATGAAAACTAACTTATTTATGAAATACAGCATTTCAGTAAAGCAAGTGATTTCATTGATTAATTGCTGTCTTCATCACGGATTGGACTTTTGATATGAAACAAGGAAGCATTTTTCTATGCTCCATACCTAGTTACATGGCAAGAAAATGTAAAATCACTGAAGAAACAATACACTGGCCACTTCTATCTGGCTTACAGAGACTACACCTGACATGATGAATCTTTATTTAGTCAGTGATGTTCAACAAAGAACAGCAGGTTTAAAGTACTGCACTGCAAGAGAATTAACTAAATGCTTTGACGCTTTTTTCTTTCAGGCAAGAAGGAGATTTCAAATGAGACATCAATCAATGTAGAGAAGGCCTCAGAACAGCGCTTAGCAATAATACTTCAATCATCCACTCCCAGAAACCAAACTCTTGAATGTTCCTAACCATACTTATTTTCCAGGTCCATGCTAAGCTGTACACCTTCACCCTCCTCACTTGTTGGCCTGATCTTCCTCATAGGCACTGAGCCCATAAGCACATGCCTGTGCTCCCTGGAAGGGTTGGATTTGCTGTGCACACACGATGCAGAACTTGCACCTGCTGCCTGCCCGACAACTGCTCTGTAGTAGAATAGCAGAAGTGCACAAGGGAGAGGGGTGGCACAGTCCCCTGGGAAAAAAAGTGTACCTGGAATAAGCCACAGGCTGGATGAATTTTCATGAAGGGTTGTGTGAGGTCTGTTTGCCATACATGCAGACTCCCTGACTGAGAATATAGATTGGACCTACCATACATTCAGGTTTTCCCACAGATGTTTCCTTTTTTTGCTTATGATTTTTTTTCTGAACAATATTTAAGGGTTTTGTGCATTTCTCTAGGAATTCTAGTTGCCTAGCAGTTGTTCTGAGGAAGTTGTTGAACATCTGAAAATCCTGAATGTCCACACACAGAGTAATAAACTTCATTGCACAAATGCAACCACGCTGATATGTTTGGGTTACCAAAACTTACTTTTTCATGTGGGGAGGCAGGCAGTACGGTGCACAGGAATTATATTTGCTTTCTAAGTCATGTAAGTGCCATCCCTGGGATACAGAATTTTGGTGGGGATAAGGCCATTCATATGATTAGAAGTTTCAGAGCCTGGTATTTGACCCAGAACACTCAGACTCCCTTTGCCAGTGCTTTGTGGTTGTTTCTTGAAGTCTAGTTTACAACTGCTTCATTAGAATAATAAATAGCATAACCCTAAAAAAAAAAAAGGTTTATTAATAAGCCAATTAAAGGTGTCAAATGTAAAGCATTTAGTCTTGGAACAACATATTTTTTTCCCTTTGCTCTCTTGTTCCTAAGAGCTGATCATGAATCTCGTCTGAACGTATATTTTAACACAGCAAGTGCAGCCAAGGATTTATTAGCCTAAGAAATCAATCTGACTACTGAGCTTCTCAAAGTATTATTCCAGGTATTGTACCTATTTCAGTTTCCATGCAGAAAAGAATGACCACTGCCATCCCATCAGCAGAGACTCCTTTCCTAGACTTTGCATGGAGAAGACAGCACAGCCCGAAGCTGATGATGGCCCCCATCCCTGTATTTCCCCCATTTGCTCTCTCTGGTTTTGGAGGCCACATTGCCTCACATACACAATAAATAGGCTACTCTTGTGTTTTATCTACATTGCACATTTCCAAACGAGGCAGATTTCTTATCCAGTAGTCAATGTCAGCTAAAATAACAAATACCAACCACAATGTTATGAGACACTTTAACTTATTTTGACTAAAATCCTATGCCTTTTTGACCAGCATTTAAGTAGTGCTAGGCACATATTTTTCCTCCTTGCATGGCACATGCTGACTATGTGCCTCCAGGAAAATGCATTTCATGCATACGAACATGCTGTTGAGTTTGCTGGGACATGCACGCACACAAACATAGAGAGAAAAGTGTATCTTTAGTCCAATCTAAAATTCTTGTTTCAGCAAAACAGTTTCCTTCCTCCTCCTTTGTTAGGTCAGGGTAAAAATATAACACTGGCTTTCCTTATAAAACAGAGTTGTGGTGTTGTTGTTTATATTAAACTTCCTCTATTTTCTCCTGAGCTGTACAATGATCAAGGCTGTCTAGAAATACAATTTGCTGTCTTATCTACCACAGTTACCTTCATGTGTTCTCTTTTCTCCATGATGTCTCAATGCACGCAAATATCCACTTCCTTAGCTAGACACATCTCAAAGATGGGGTCTACACTGAATTGCAACAAATTCCCTGAGCACCACTCTGTCTGGCTAATCACAGAAACATCAGGGATGATAAACTGACCCAGGAAAATGGAAAAGAGCCTTGGTCAGCAAAAAGCTGACAGGAGGGACTATGCTTTGGAAGCACAAGCACCTGAGTCCATCCTCTGCTATTGTCATCAAATACCAAGCAACCTCAGGGAAGAGAAGATTGCAGGAGCAACCTTGGGAAGAGAAGAGGACTGCAGTTGCACATGCAGATGCAAAAGCATTCCTGAATAAACACTGTCCTGCACACATAGTTAACAGGATATTAAGGAAAATGCCACCACTCCCAGGGTTAAACTCTGTAGCAGAAAATATCTTCACGCTACAGAGGAAGTGAGCTAATCGCTTGTGCCACTATCAAAGCACTGCAACAACATCTGGCTCATCTTCCTCATTAAAGTTCAGTTCCTAAAAAGCCAGGTCAAAAGAAGCAGCCACGTGGAATCACTGTATAACTATTTTGGTACACAAAGTTGATACTTGTTTCAGCGCTTCCCTGGCACATGTTTTCTACTCCACGTCTCACTGGTAATCAGCTGTCTCTGACGTAAGGGCTGCCCAGAGCATTCACCAATGAGAACCTGTCCCATCCACATAAAAATATTTACCCAGAGGGGTAAAAGCCACAGTGCAAAATATGCAAAGACAACTGAAGAGGGTGCTTTGATGAATGCACCGTCACTCCAGAAAACACTGTATGTGGTCATTTGTCTTGTCCATTTGCAAATATTGTAGAAGAAGCTTCTTCTCTTTGAGAGAAAATAACTTCAATTACGTGTTCCCAATTACAGAAACATGGAAATTATCTTCTTCACAGAAGGTAGAATTAGTCCAATTTGGAATTGAAAGGCAGCCAGAAACATCTTTTACTGTTAGCAACTTTCCTTTTAATTTTTTTTCTCCTTGTTCGACTGCATAAAGTTGGACCTTTCCCTTCACTTCATGCACCAAAACTGATTATCAGTTAAATCAATAGTTAAATAGCATCACAGCATATTTTTTTTCAATGGTCTGACAAAGACCACACTTCTTCATTTAAATTATTGACTGTCCAAAACAACTGCAAACTTTCAGAGCAAGAAATCCAGCACGGTGCCATGTCTTTCATGAGTCGCACTCCCAAATAAACATCAAGATTCCCTACAGCTGTATTTCAGTTCATAATTAAGGCCAACTCTTACAGAGGAGATGCAATAGAAAAAAATATTTTAATTCTTGATTTGTTTTCCCAGTGAAAGGTTACAGCTGCCAGAGTACATACAGATTCCTGAAAAGACAGTTCTGCCTGAAATCCCTGCAGCACGCACGTTCCTTGCTTTACTCCTGGTTGAAGAATAACTCATGAAGATCCTTTGAGGAAGCTGCCCTGCATGACAAGATTTCCACTGACAGCCAGTGCCTTCTGGCCCATACCAGCAGCTCAAAATCACAAGTCTTTGGGCTGGCAGGAGAGAAGGCTCCCCTGGGACACGCCAGAATGGGACAAGCCACTGGTTGCCTTGCTGCCCACCTGCCCTGCCATCACTTCCCACAGCAAACCAGCAATCCAGAACGTACAGTTCTGGTAGCAGAGCCCTCATTTGTTAAACACTGCCTTGCTTTGAAGTAGGACAGTTTTGTAACTGCTTCAAAGCTCTAGAGGATATTTTTCTTTATTTTTAAACTTCATTACTGTAACTGTATCCTTACTTAGCTATCTAAGCACACTGACTGTCCTATTCTAATCCTGCTAAGCTCTTAGTTTCAGTGATCTCTTGTGACATTAAGCTACACAGAATTTGAGTAATAACAACAACAAAAATATTTTCCTCGGTTTTAACTTCACAGTCTGCAATTTTGCACAATTGCCTCTTTTTTCTTACACTGTGAAGCTAGGATGCAGACAGGTAGGAAGGGGAGG